CTCCGGGAGAGGTCGACTCCACATAAACAGGCCTTTGCTGATGGTTAATATGTAACTCTCCTTTGCAGAATTCGGCAATGAACTTTTCCAATCGGTTTGTAAAATTTGCTTTCAGGTCTTGGTAGAAATTCGTTCCATATTGATTTGCAGCGAATACAATAGCTTGCGAGTCTCCTCGAATTCTACATAAATCAACGAAAAGATGTCTTTTCTCTGACCAGAAACGTTGTAGAGTTGGATACTTGTTATCTGTACGGCTATGTTGTTCCATTCCAAGTGTAAAAACATTCCAGAAAAAGGTCGATTTGGCTCTCTTGATTTCATCCACTACATATCGTAAATTCCCTGTATCCCTGCCCCATATCAGAAAACAGTTGAATATCATACTGCCTCTTGATGTGATCTGACTGATATGTAATACCCATCTGTCGATCACGTCTAAAATCGATCTGTTCTCTACCTTGAGTCTCGAGTATAACCCACATTTGACGACTCTCGTGAATGGTTTTGAATAACTTATTTCTTGACCGTTGTCTGAATCATCTGTAATTCGTTTTCTCTTCCTCGGCATGTTATAGTATGTTAGTCTGGCGAAACCATGTTAGATAGCAGGTAGTCGCTACATTTTTTTCATTACCATCGTTTCAGTGTATTGTCGGACCGCAAACTCTGTAATGGCGGGAAGATGAAACGAGCAGCCACAAACTTTCCGTCGGACTCCGGGGAAGGCGGGAAGATTTTTTTTTCTTTTTTAAGACCCTCATACAGCCCCATTGGATGGGTGATTGAAACCTATCAATGACCCCTGTCATGCTGGTCCAGGACTCCTTCGGGAGTCCTTTTGTCGATTAAAGGTTAACCGGCGAACCCCCCTTTGCCCCGGGGGGGGGGGGTGGTCCATTTATGTGGTTTATGGTGCTAAACAATAAAAATCACAGAAAACTTTCAGAGTTTAAAGAAAGTATATATACTGGTGTCCGAGTTTTTTAAATTGGCGTGGAAGTTCCCGGAAGCCGCCTAGCCTGACTGCTAGCCTGATACCACCGGCGGCCCGGCCCGGATCACCGCTGAGTGACGGGTCATGATACTAGAAAGATGACTGACGGTTCAGGTAAGTGGACTCGACAGTACTACGGTAGACGGTTTCACAAGCCTCGACATCTAAGGGGGTTTCATCTATCAGCTAGTCAACCGGGCAAACATGAAGTTCGGGTCTTCCAACACGCCGTCCTTGGGCAGCAGGTTGACCATGTGGAGGAAGCGCAGCCGCCCCTGCATGTCCCCGAAGATGCAGAGGTCAGAGTCGTCGTGCTCCGACTCCATGGCGAGAAGTTTCTCGATCTGCGTGCTCAGGCTGGAGTTCTGCAAGGGTGGACGTCAGGAGGAGGCAAGTGTACTATCAGGAGGGACGTCACCTGCTTCAGACCTCCTCGCCATGCCTCCCACGCTCGAGCTACTGTGCTCTGCTTCCATCGCTGGAGCACCCTCATGGCTGATTTCTGTCGGCGGACCCTCCGCTCCTCTGTCGACCTCACCATACGAAAGCTGGTTGTCAGGCAAGAGATGCCACACAGCTCCACAGGGGCTGCCTTGTCGCTCCTCTTGCTGCTGACTAGCGGGTCTTCGCTGCGACCAGTGTCGAGAGGAGCCTCGTTGACGTAGAAGAGGCGGATCCTGTTGGCCTCCAGGTCCCATGCCCACACCTCGCCGATGGTGCTGGAAACGAGCAGGATGGGCTTCGTGGGGATCCAGGAGACGTGGGAGACTGGGGACAGGAGTCAGCATCGTCACCGGATATCTGCCTTGAGCTTCTCACTCTCAGCCACAGCTGGGATCAGCGACTGCGGGATGTTCTGCAAGCACTCTCCGGTCTCCACCTTCCACACGTGGATGGTTCCGAACGCTCCTCCTGCAGCAAGGGGAGCAGCAGACATGGTCAGGACGAGAAGACTGCGAGCACAGGGTACCCACCCACAGCCACCAGGTCCTCCTCAGACGAGAAGGCAACGTGGTTCAACGCTCCCTCGGCCTTGAGCGCGTGCAAGGGCTGGCAGGTCTCGACTGCAAGAGCGTCAGGAGCAGCGTCTAGGAGGAGCATCTTCCCCACCATTCCAGATCCTGCAGAATCTGTCTCCTCCCACGGAAGCCAAGAGCCTCCCGCTGAAGGAGAACTTGACTGACTGCACGTAGGCAGCGTGTGAGCCCTCGAGGACCTTGGCTCCCGGGTTGAACTTGTGCATGAGGTCGAAGATGCAGACGGTTCGGTCGGTGGAGGCGGAGGCGATGTACCGTCCCTGAGGGCAGCCGTCCACGTCCAGGATGCTTCCTTGCAGCTCTTTCCTGAAGCGGCAGTGCGATCGCAGGCGGCCTGTCAGGCTCCTGACGAGCCTCTGCAGCCTGACGATCTTGATCATGTCGGGCAGCTGGTCGTAGGACACTGAGATCATGCTCGAGAGCCTGGTGAGGCCCTCGGAGCTGAGCATGCTTGACGTCCTCCCGAACCCGCCAGGGTTGTCGCCCGACGCCTCAATGCTCGTCGTCCTCCCGAAGGAAGGCTCTTGCGGGGAGGAGGCGGCGACTGTCGCCTTGGTCCAGATCCTCCAGACCCTGACGGACTTGTCGAGGGATCCTGTCACAACGTGCAGCCCGTCTCCTATGAAGCGAACGACCCGCACGTCAAGCTCGTGCTGGCCGACGTGTAGGAGCGGCTTGTTGAGGTCGTCGGTGCGCCAGAGGTTGACCTTGTAGGTGCTCCATGCGACGATGAAGATCTGAGAGGAGAGCGGGCCGAGCACGTGATCCTCCGGCAGCCTCGGGGCGAAGGAGGCGAGACGAACAGCTCCTGCAGAAAGAATAAGGGGGGGAGGAGGGGAGGAGAGGGAGAGCAGATGGGAGAGGAGAGGAAGAGGAGAAGAGGAGGGGAGAGGGAGGAAAACGGAGGAGAGGGAGGAAAACGGAAGAGGGAAGGAAGAGGGAAGGAAGAGGGGGGGAGGAGGATAACAGGAGGAAGAAGCAATGGAAGGCAAAGTGGCAAGAACAAAAGAGACAACTGGGCGACAAGGAGACGAACTTGAACGGGACATAGTTCGCAAGAAAGATGAAAAAGTAAAGAATAGCGCAGGGGAGCAGATGAAGAGGAGGAGATGAAGGGGAGCAGGGCAAGGGCAGGAGCAGGTGCAGGAGGCAGGAGCAGGAGCAGGAGCAGGAGCAGGAGCAGGAGCAGGAGCAGGAGCAGGAGCAGGAGCAGGAGCAGGAGCAGGAGCAGGAGCAGGAGCAGGAGCAGGAGCAGGAGCAGGAGCAGGAGCAGGAGCAGGAGGGGAGACCGTATTCGCTGTCGAAGTCAAGACCTCCGATGAGCTTGGAGTGGGGAAGTACCTCCCACACCTTGAGGTTGCCATCCCCGACCGAGAGAGCTTTGCTGCCGTCACACGACAGAGAAACAGACTGAATGAAACACTTCTCTGAATGCCTTGGTTTCAACACTCCTCCTCCTCCTCCTCCTCCTCCTCCTCCACCTGCTATCTCTTCACTCCCCTCCCCTGTCCTTCCGGCTGCCCCTCCCTCTCCCTCCACCATCGACCGCTCGTTCTCATGCTGCCCTGCCGACCATACGTAGAGCTGTCCATCATCGCAGCCGATGATCGTGATCTCGCCGGAAGAAGAGGAGCAGCAGCAGTTGATGTGCGAAGAGACTTCAACTGTCTCCGCCAGGTCCTCCACTTGGTCCCACACAAAGATATCAGTGTCGCAGGCCATGAACAGAAGGCCGTCGCTCATCCTGGAGCTGAACTTGACGTTGTTCGCCCTGGCCTGCAAGATTGTCTGCTGGGTCTTCCCTTCCGACTCCTTGGACTGCTCTGACTCTAGGATCAGCGTCTTCTCGAACCTGATGCTCTTGCTCCTGTTCCTGCTGAAAGGAGCGATGCCCTTCTTTGCGACCTCCTCGTCCTCACTGACCTCCTTGCTCTTGTTGCTGCAGGAGGTGAGGTGAGAAGGAAGAGACATGTTCGCACTGACGAGGAAGAGTGGAACGAATTTGAGGAAGAGATATGAAGACAATGGAGAGGGAGAGAGAAGGGGGAAGGGGGGGGGGGGAGGGGGGCTGGGTTTACTCGTCGGAGGAGGGGGGGATGGGGGGCCGGGGGCACATAGAGGTGGAGGGAGGGGGAGGGAGGGTGGAGCCAGAGTCTTTCCGGGGCAGTCTCGTCCTCCCCAGGTTACGCTTGGCCATGGCGGAGAGATGCTCCCTTGA